GTTGCATTTTCATGTGCAAGAGGGTAATGTACTCTAATGTATTATCAAAATGGACAATTCCTCACATGAACTATTCGACAGAAACACTCATTAAAAACATTATCTACAAAGAGGTTCTTTAGAAAAAATAAAGACAAGCTAACTATATTTTCATTCCTGTTCCCTCAAATATAACATTTAATTATATGCCTCGCTCCTTTCTCGCTCATTTAAACGCACCCTCCCCACTTTCGAATAAATGCACCCTGTAGATCCTTAACACCGTGCAGAGCACTGGCATATGCTAGTACAGGCTAATACTTACTATAAAAAGGATATATAAGAAATAATTATATACTACCATGTGAAAAATTATGGAAGATGACATTAAAACCCATATTGATAAGTGCACTGAAGGTAATTTTTCTTTTATTGTTGACGTTGCTAAACAAATTGCCTGTCTTGTCAAAGACGAATTAAACAAAAAGGCAAAAAATGAACTTAAACTAGTCATTAATAACGACATAATCGACATTACTCGAACTGTCAATTCCAATAATAACCAGACTAACATTCAAATGGTATTTTGAACTCAATTAAAAGTGTCATTATATTATGGACATCACTGATGACTTTCCCATTTTGCGTTCATACAATACGATAATAAAATAAATAATAAAAATATTACGGAAATAAGAACGAAATTTATAAACAACACAACACTTAATAAACTTCTTTCTGCAATAAACAGAGAAAATTGGAATGATGTTTTTATTTTAAAAGATCCAGTGAAGGTTACAATTTACTTAATAACAACCTTATTACAATCTATGAGAATATATCTACCAGAACTGTTACTAAACGGCAAATTAATAATAAACCTTGGATCACTAAGTGTACCATGATATCCATAAATAGAAAGAATTCTCGGTATAATTTTTTTTTTTACAATGCTAGTGATAGTAACAAACAAAATATATTGAATATAATAACAAACTCATTCATTTAACTAAAATCAATAAACGCCAATACTACTCTAGAGCTCTCGGTGGGGTTCAAAATAACAATAATCAAACATGGAATATTCTCGGTGATGCTGTTACCCCTGACACCAGTAATGGCTTACCTTTTGGTGCCAATGTGGGTTTTCTTGGAATTTATATATGACATCCCCTTTTCCCGAATTTGATGGAACGTAGTGAAATCAAAGAAACTGTTATAAAATTATCATGAAAGCAATAAATTAAATATATGATATACATATCTAAAATTCAATCAAAACTTAACTCTACAAGTAAGTGAAGGAATTTTTTCTTAATATTAAGTTGAAAACAATTAATACCGTATGAGACAAGCAATTTTAAACATACAGTTACACAATGAAATAACACTGCAAATTGTATCATCTTTCATAAATTGATAATTATATAATAAAGTATAATTGTGTAAACATAATAAATGCATATAGATTCCAAGAAGATGGTTAATGACACATCATTGACTCATCAACTACGGTACATGTTTAAGACTCATCAACTACGTGCGTGAATAACCTTAGTTACTTCCTGAAGTTGACCATAAGGTAGGACTGGAATGTACCTGTTGGTGGCAATGTGGCTTTCATTGGAATTTATACTTAACATTACATTTTTAACCTTTCTCGAAAAAAGGTATCGTATCAGATCTGTCAAAGACAGCCAGAGTTGTTCAAATAATATATTCAGATAATATGTTCAAATAATATTATTTATATATTATAATATAAAAGCTGGTAACAAAGATGTGTAAACTAATATACCTATTATCTGTGCTTCCCAAACTATCCAGCATTCTTGAACGTATTGTATAACAGATTCCATAACTACCTACAAAAATCAAACAATTATTCACCCTCACAATAGGGTTTTCAAAAATAAAGCTTCCATTATATGGCCGTATTTAAACTAACTGATAAGATATGATATCGTCGATAAGGACGAATGTGCTATCGGTATATTTTGTAGATCTTAGCAAAGCTATCGATACGATTGAGCACAGCATTTTAATTTAAAAAAACTTGAATAATATTAGGTGTAAGAGGTACAGCTTAAAATTGGTTTAATAGCTATATCTATGGAAGAAGGCAGTACACTGTCTTTAATAACACTAAATCTATGATTTACAATGTTGAATAGGGTGTGCCCCAGGGGTCAATTCTCGGACCCCTGTTATTCATACTTTACGTCAACGACATCTTTAATTGTTCTGACATTTTATTCCTCATTTTATTTGCTAACGTTACTAATATTTTGTTATCTCACAAAAGTTTAAACTCTAATCACTATTATTAATACCGACATTGACAAAATAAATGAGTGATTTAAATGTTACAGTTTGTTACAATAACTGTCTTTAAACCTACATAAAACTAATTTTATGGTTTTCCAAAGTTTGAAAAGAAAAACTGACTTATTAAATTGACTTAGTTGTCACACAGCCTAATAAGGCTCATATGGACATTGTAATTTGTCTTAACAAATACAACTTCAGGACGATAAATAAACTGAACTGACGCTGTTTACAAAAAGCTAAAATAAACTGATTTATTTCGGTCTTCTAACAATGTTACTATTTAGCATATGGGTTTTCCAATGATATATAATTTTGCTATAAGTTGGAATAGTAATTACCACAATGCAAATTACTGTTAATGGTAAGTATTTATGACTAATTTACGTACTTCACATTATCTCTGAAAGCTCATGATAATAAAAACTTCATATATTTTCAGTAACTTTATCAATTTTAACTACCACATTGAATCATTATAGGCCTATTGTTTTAACATTCCAAAAATTATTGTAAGAATATATAGCATGACATTATGTTTACAAGGTTATAGTAAGTGAATAATTATATAAATCGGCAAAATAACTAAGAGCAAAATTATGTAACGTTCAACTGTCCACTTCCAGACACCCTGCCCAGGAACGATCAAAATTTTCCTCCCACAGTTCACTTTTATATTCCATTCACATATCTTCCTGGCTCTGTTGTATTTATTAGCTTTCAACCCTCAATTCGTAAAATTCATTAACTCTAAACTGCTGTACAACTACCTGAGTAATGTTCAGCATAAACCAAAGTTCATCCCTGCTATCCGAGCTTATTAGCTCCACACAATCCAATAATTCAGAAATTAAACTGCCTTCAGTGACGTTTACTTTAATTCAGGGTTGTTGAGCTTATTAGCTCCACAATAAAAATAATAAGCAGGTATCTTGGAAAAGGTTTCCATCCATATAATGCAATATTGACTACATCACAGCCGTTCACTGGATGTTCATTGGCATACCGTACATTCAGGTCAACAGTTTATCATTAAAAATAATATGCAAACAAATTGTTCTTATATCACCCACAATGTCTGTAGGCTGGTATAGTATAGGCATTGAACCTGATAATGTTGTCTTCAAATGCAACATCGATTAATTCTGGACTAACATGTCCTTTCCTCACAAGGCACTCTCTAAACACCCTTCATCCAATTCTAGCCAACACCCCACCAAAAATTCATATCTCATTACAATTCATGTATACTCCCATCCAATCAGTGCTTCACACTACTAACCTCAACTCATTTACATCATTGCAATCATTTGCATTACCTCATTAATATTCATTTCTCATTCAACCAATTTGTAACTCACACACAAGTTTCCCAAAGAATACTTACCTTATTACCATATTAAACCGAAGACTGGCTGTTGTGTGGTGTGTTAAAGTAAGTTTAGCGGTTAAAAAAAATACTTACTAATAAACTAAAATAGATGTCACTTGTGGCATTAGTGGCAATTAATATAGTTAACAACACAACATTTTTGGAGGTTTATTTAGACGAATTTGTAAATTTTATAGAGCATATTAATGTTGTATAAAAAACATATCTAACTATTTTAATTCATTGCATTTTTATATGGGGATGCGCGTATGAATCATATTTGAGTGAAATTAAACGACTTCAAGGAAAAGCCATTCGTGCAATAACACACAACATTTAGAGACAGTGTATCACATGTTTTCCGTACACATACACTTCTTAAAACCCAAGATATTATCTTATATCAAATTGGCATTGCCAAGACTCTGCCACGCACGATCTTAATACTAGCCTGGTGTCTATTTTGAAAAAGAATTTTATCAGCAAAATTACAACACCAGAAGTAAAACTAGACTTAAGTCAAAGAAAACTGAAATGTACTAGCCTAATGAAATATGTGTTGACTGTATAGTCCTGAAATCAGATTCATTGGCCATTTTAATGTGGAAATATAAACAATTTCTATTATTGTCATTGAGCTTATTCATGATTGTACTGATTTATTGTATTTTTTTGCTGTTGAAATATGTTTTACTATAGCCTTTCTGTCTCTATTTTGAGCTCCACCTAGAATTTGGTTGTGCTGGCAATTTTTTTTATTGCATGTGTATGTATGTATGTGTGTATATATACAGGCCTACTTATATTATATTGCATTTAGACATCCAATCAACTAGTTAACAACGAGTCAACTAACCAACCAACCAGAAAATTATAATTGTTTGTATTAATATTAAAATTATATTTGTTTTATTACTAACTAACGAATTTAAAATAGATATTGAAGAAAAATAGGAGGCTATCTTGGTCCAAAAATCTATTTCATCCTTAATTAAAGACTATGAAATTTATATCATGTACACAGAAAACAAATTAAATAATACGAGATTCTGAAGCAGACAGTCTTTTATCTATTTAATGACGTTTACAAAACATTGTATCAACAATCTGTGTGATCGATTCGCTTCAAATGTTTGTTTTCTTAAATAATAACGAACGGATGTGAGTTTCTTTCATAAATATATCGCATAATTATTATACTTATTGCGCGTTTGTCTCACGATCCGTTTCTAGAGCGTGCGCCATCAAAAGTTTGGCTTGTTACGGTACCGTTTGCAGTTTAGCGTACATATCAGTCAATGATGAGAACTAGCCGAGTAATTTTGTTATTGATCATAAGATTATTTAATTTCATTGTGTTGCATCTGGTTTTGAGTGTAATACATTTTTGGAGGATTTTTACTGAAGTATTGCAGTATTTTGTAACATAAATGATTCGCATGATGTTGTATATCTTGAGTTTAATATATATGAACGTGTTGGTATTAATGAATCCTGTATCATCAGGTATGTAGCCGTAACTAGTAAACAGTGTCATATCCCCAATAGAGAGACACACATTTAAGGTTAGTTAGCTAGGTCTATCTTTCCTATGCGCCTATTTCAATACCATTATTTTCAGGAGTTAAAACATTTTTTGACGCCTGGAATTATTGTGAGGTTAAATCAAGTTTGTTTTCATCAAACAAAAGCAACATGGTAGTACCCAATCATTGAGTACGGACAAAATGTTTTTTACGATTTACCGCCGAGACGCCTCCACAAATCTGGAAAGAAAATATGATAGTACCATCCTTTAGGCGTCCTACAACGCCCCAAAATTAATTGTAAAGTCAATAAAATTGGAAATATCGCCTTGCAAAATATAAAGTAAAATAGAAATAGAAACAGATATTTTAGCTAAAGTCAATGTCGTCTATAAAAATACGTGAAGATGGTCAGTGTTGCAGCATGGATAATTGCAGCATAGAGCAATACCGGTACTTGGTTGAATGTAATATCATGAATTCACAATTGCATTGATAGTGAGCTTATGTATGCATTTCGAGTCCAATTTTGCGGTTGCATTTCGAGGTATGGTGTGTAATTCCAAGATTCAATATTCGAAAGCAATTAAAAATTGATTTCAGAAGAACAAATAAAATATAACATAAAATACGACGACTTCACAATTGCATTGAGAATGAGATTATATAACAAGTCATGTATTTCGTACGAAGCTGTTTAAGGGACATGATGAATTTTTATTTTATTTTCCTAACCCGTATGTACGCCTTATTAAGGCGTACGTACGCCTTATGTAACCCGTACGTACGCCTTAATAAGGCGTACGTACGCCTTATGTAACCCGTACGTACGCCTTATTAAGGCGTACGTACGGGTTACATAAGGCGTACGTACGGGTTACATACGTACTTATTTAGGTGTACGCCTTAATAAGTCGTACGTACGGATTACATAAGGCATACGTACGCCTTAATAACCCATAAGGCGTACGTACGACTTATAAGGCGTACGTACGACTTAATAAGGCGTTTGGAAAATAAAATAAAAATTCATCATGTCCCTTAAACAGCTTCGTAATTTCGACTCCAATGTATTGTAGTTTTGCGGTTGCTTTTAAAGCCATGGTGTTTATTTCCAAGATTATATTCGAAAGCAATTACAAACAAGAGTGACCGATCACCGGTCAATGCGTTCCTTCACGCTTAATTACGGTGCAAGGGCAGGCTATTATATTGGGGTTTTTTGGAAGAGCTAATAATACAGATTTTTTTTTAAATAGTTAGGATGTTTATTTGTACAAAAAATAGATTATGATCAATGATCATTGTACAAAATTAAAATAATTACCTTAAAATAGAAAAAAAAATGAATACCAAGACACGATTCAAACTCACCACCTTAAGTTCTTTAGAAAACATCCGACCGCACCGACCGCGATATGACGGGCTCAATTAGTGGTAATGGCAGTAATGTAAAGTCCCTGTTGACACCCCCTGCTTTGTCTTGTAGATGTGAGGGGAACCCTGGGGTCCCACTTTAAAAAGGCAGAATTTCCTGCACGTCTGTTAAAAAAAAAGTGACATTAGAAACTTTTAAAATGTTAGTAACGAGAACAAGAACAGCAGTGAGGCACTGGGGTTAGCACCTTTCGCAGACAGACTTATTAAAGGTAATCTAATTTGAATTAACAATTCTAAGCTTATTTGAAAATATATTAATATGGAGTATATTTAAACACTCCTTTTTTGTAAGGTGTCATCAAACAATGATATAAAAACAGTGAATTACACTTTATAAATCCGGATTAAATAAGGCGTACGTACGCCTGAATAAGGCGTACGTACGCCTTAATAACCCATAAGGCGTACGTACGACTTATATGACGTACGTACGACTTAATAAGGCGTTTGGAAAATAAAATAAAAATTCATCATGTCCCTTAAACAGCTTCGTAATTTCGACTCCAATGTATTGTAGTTTTGCGGTTGCTTTTACAGCCATGGTGTTTATTTCCAAGATTATATTCGAAAGCAATTACAAACAAGAGTGACCGATCACCGGTCAATGCGTTCCTCCACGCTTAATTACGCTACAAGGGCAGGCTATTATATTGGGGTTTTTTTTGGATGAGCTAATAATACAGATTTTTTTAAATAATTAGGATGTTTATTTGTACAAAAAATAGATTATGATCAATGATCATTGTACAAAATTAAAATAATTACCTTAAAATGGAAAAAAAATGAATACCAAGACACGATTCAAACTCACAACCTTAAGTTCTTTAGAAAACATCCGACCGAACCGACCGCGATATGACGGGCTCAATTAGTGGTAATGGCAGTAATGTAAAGTCCCTGTTGACACCCCTGCTTTGTCTTGTAGATGTAAGGGGAACCCTGGGGTCCCACTTAAAAAAGGCAGAATTTCCTGCACGTCCGTTCAAAAAAATTGACATTAGAAACTTTTAAAATGTTAGTAACGAGAACAAGAACAGCAGTAAGGCACTGGGGTTAGCACCTTTCGCAGACACACTTATTAAAGGTAATCTAATTTGAATTAACAATTCTAAGCTTATTTGAAAATATATTAATATGGAGTATATTTAAACACTCCTTTTTTGTAAGGTGTCATCAAACAATGATATAAAAACAGTGAATTACACTTTATAAATCCAGAATTATTATTATTATTTATCTTACGTATTGGAATATACACAAAAGCATTCTATCTATTTAAAATAATACATAGGAAATCTTAGCACAGCCAATTTGAAGGAGGCACCATATATTTCTAATACTGGATACTATGCTTTTTTTTCTCAGAGAATTGTTTAGACCCCCTTGGTGTCGAGGACGGAAGTATTCCCGCGGACCAACTGACAGCGTCCAGCGAATGGGACCCGTCGCACGGGTCTCAACGGGCAAGACTGAATACCATATTAAACAGTGAAGGGATTGGAGCCTGGTCTGCAAAATTCAATGACCTAGACCAATGGATTCAAGTTGATCTTGGTACATTGAAAAACGTACAAGGAGTAATCACTCAAGGTCGCAACCGCTACAATCAATGGGTTACATCATATGAAGTTCGTTACAGTGTTAATGGTAACAGCTTTGAGGTAATAACCGACGCAAATGGCCAAGTTGCGGTAAGATTTAGATACATTTTCCCACTTTTGTTTGAAGAATTTTAAAGGCAACACTTGTAAAATTAACATCAAACCTAGACACATGATAAAAAATGTTTGTATATGTTACCGTATACAACTGAATTTTCTGTGTATAGAAATAACGGAAACGGTTTTAGAAATTTCAGTTGTACAACTTATCATTTTTTCCCTCTTGAGCTTGTCGTTAAATTTCAATTTATATCAACTATTTTGCTTATATCTAGGAGTTCGATGGAAATTCTGATCAAGACACTACTGTTACAAACATATTTTATACTCACGTGTACGCTCAATTCATCCGTATTCATCCAATCAGTTGGCATAACCATATAAGCTTACGATTCGAGGTTCTTGGATGTCAAGGTAGTTGTATATGCCCATTACATTTAATATATTTAAATAATTTCAGCAATATGTGAGACAATGTCCATGTAGAATCATTTAGAATATTGCCTGTTACGTTTTAGAATTCAAACAGTTTCTCAAGCAAATTTACAATAACGTTATAATAATGATATTACAATAGTGTTAATAATAAAAATGATATTGATTATGATCATAAGATGGTCATCATGATTAAGATCATTATCATGATGATGATCATCATCATAGTCAACGATCGTCATCATAGTCGTCACCATTCAGGGATGGCATCTGTGGGAGGAGAAGGGCCCCGTCTGGAAGATCTCTTATCCCCGAAAGAAACACAATAATTTTTCAGAGAAAAAGTGTATATGTATCTACATACTGTATTTTTAGACTCTGAAATTGATTAAATAAGCATTTAAAACCCTTAAATTGTCCCATTTTTTTAGGGACTTTGCCCCAATGACCGTTTTTGAAAGATTAAGAGTTTAAGTGACCCTGACCACGCCCACTTAAAAAAAACCAATTAAATCAGAATTTATCATTTTTTCCTCTGGACACCGGACACATTTTTGTGCAACTTTCTCTGCTCCCTGTGAAGAGTTAATCTTTAGCGCACAACCAATACGTTCAATGCCATACCATCTTTCCTGGGTGGATAGAGGTAAATGTCAGTAAACCCATGGACACAAGCAATGTTTGTAATATAATTATAGTATCATTATTATATTATGTGTATTAATCGTATTATGTATATATAATATTTTTCTCAAATTCGTTAGTATGGCCAGGAAACAGATTGCACTCTACCTATTACAAGTCATCTCGTTCGAATAGTGCATGTCGAAAACGTTTAGAAATTGTCGATCTCCGGACACGGAGCTGCTTGACATGCGCTGTGGAGTGTATGAGAATGCAAGGATGCAAGGATTTTAAGTACGATACAGGTGAATGTCTTTTTAATACCAATGGATATTATGCTGCATTTCAGTTATAAATTCAATGATGCTTTATTATTGGCGGATAATACCAATGGGTGTCAAAAAATGCGATTGTCCCCCGACAGCAGCAAAGGATGAAATCACTGCTAAGGAGGTTATGTATTCATTCCTGTCTGTCTCCTACTCAAAATGTGGAAGGAATGGATCATCATGAAATGTCGTTGAATGGTACATAGTATCTAAGAAAGCGATTATTATCTTTTGGAAAAAAATGTCAAGGTCACAGAAATTTTATTTTCCTGAACTTTCCCTCGAGTATAAAAGAAAATAATAATATCACTCATACAAGGCCCGCGTATTGTTCGGATCCAGGCACTTGGTGGAGGTACGCACTTTAAGGAGTGACTGCTCTAATAGTTATATTTTCTGATTTAAAAAAATGTAATGGAAAAACAAAACAAAAACAGGTGTCTACTTGATAGCAGTATTGATGGCAATAATGGTGATAATTATAGTGATGGAAATTGCTATAATGATTATGGTACTATTATTGTTTATGGTGATAATGATCACAGTTAATGGTGATAACAATAATAATAATAATGATTATAGTAATAATGATAATAATAATAATAATAATAATAATAATAATAATAATAATAATAATAAAATATGACCACTTTGAACTAATTCGCATAGGCGAATGTTTTTTTGACGAGAAGGTTTTTGTTGTCAGAGCAAATAATTAATATTTAATTATTGTAATGGAAAGAAATTAATAAATATAATGTTTAATAATTTTTAATAGTTATGAATTTTAATGATTTTTATTGTGATGCTTTGTTTTAACTGGTTGTTTTAACCCCTAGTGCTTTTAGTGTCTTTTAATCCTTATAATGTTCTTGTATCCGTTTGGTTGTCCTCCATTTTTCCCCCTTTTGATATTCGACCTCAATTTGTTCTGTATTTGATTCAAATTGCAATCAAGTATTATCGTATCGTATCGTAAGATTAGGGCACGGTTTGACATAGTGTCCTCCGACAATTAAATTTAGGATGAATTCAATAACAAAATTTCGCCAACCTCCTAACATATGTATGGTTCTGTTTTCTATGAGTTTGTCCACAACAAAACATACCTGCGAATATCTAGATTTCTCTAGAATGTATGTTCTTATTCATATTTTCTGATTATTTTAATTACTTCAGATATTGCCGTTATATTATTGTAATTATTCTAGTAAATATTCCTTCTCTTTCCTCCTGTTTCTCTTTACACAATTAGAATATAATAAATCCATTGTTATTAATAATTAGAATATTTATAGAATGTAATGATAATGATAGGCCTAATTGAAATATATATTCTCTCTAAACTTATAATCTCTTATAAGTTTAGTTTAAAAAAAATAATTTTCTTTGCAGACGCATATTCTCTGTGTAGTTCGTGTATCTATACACTCTTATAAAGAGTTAATATCGTTATTGTGCAAATATCAACTGAATCAAAACATTCATAACACTCAGATCGCAGAGCACGATACTCACTATAAAAGTTATATTAGTTAAAATCCATATTTGCTAAGGCAGAGTAAACTGGTAATTACCGGTTGTCAGTTTACTTTTTCCATTTTTTTTGCATTGATTATTCTGTATTGTTTACTCGTTTCAATGAAAATGGAAATCTGTACAAACTGAGTCAATGCAAAGTGTGTTTTTGTAACTTTTTTCTTGGTCGCCTG